GGGGGGGTAGGGAGAGCTCTACATCTGCTGCTAGGCATCCCTCAGAGCCCAAGGGTTCAAATAAACCAACTTTTTCCTAAAATCATTACAATACCTTCAGGTAAAAACCGTTCCCTAGGCTAAGAGCAGGCCAACGGACAAAAGCAAGAAAATGGTTAAAAAGTAATGAACAGGGAAGTTTTTTGGTGTCTTATAACTGGAAGTCTTAGCTGACTTCTTATTCTCTTGCTTAAAAGGGCCCAAAAGGGCATCTTGGATCCAGATCAATCTACCTGGATGAACTCAAAACTGAAAAAATGAACTCAAACTGCCAAATATCTGCTCTGTGACTTCTTTACTGGGGTGGGAAGCATCATGGGGTGATCAAGCCTCCCTAGGTCCACCAGTATCATGGCTCACAGAAAGGCGGGAGTGATGAAGGGAGTGCTCTCAGCTCCATGAGTTTGCGGAGAGTGAGCTTTTGTTTGGGGCTTTGATTGTATCTTTCTATGGAGGATCTGTGGACGTGCCCCTTAGGTTTCACTGATGGTAACTTTTTCGGAGGTGACTTGGTTGGCTCCTGTTCTTGTGGGAAGAGCCTACACCATCTGGCTATGTCATCATTGCACTGGCCTATAAAAGTGAGCTGCCAGACCTCCCTTCTCCCCCCATGTCTATCTTTCTTCCACAGAAGTCCTGAGAACAAAGCAGAGCTAACAGGGAAATTGCATCTGGGGCAGGGGGTGTCCAGCTCTCCCTCCCAGCCCTCACCCCCTATCCCAGAGAGCCATGTAGCTGAAAGGCAGACGTGCTTTCATCATGTAGCCCTTCTCTCTGGCCTTGGAGAACCCCTCGCATAATCTCTCAGCCAAGCCAAAGCTATCAAGAAAGGGGAACTATATGGTCTGAATGGTGAGGGTGTCTGTAGCAAAAGAAGGGGAATTCCTTGGAACTCAAATGTCCAGAATTCAGGGATTCAAATTTCTCTCAGGAGAAAGGGGATTTCCTAGGCAATGTGACTCTTATCAAGTGAAGAGAATTTCCCACATGATCCCTGGTGCTTGGAAGAGCAGTGAGTGGTAAGGGCTAAAGCCATGATGCTGGGAGAAGCAAGAGACCTGACCTGACCTTTGTACCTTGATCTTACTGTGAATCATATGGACCGTGTGTATATTTACAATGGGGACAGGAAAGTGGTTCGTGTCTGGCAGGCCCACACGTATTCCTCTCCTAATCTAAACAGTAAACTGGTATTACGAGTCTGGAAGAGTCTGGAGGACTCCAGGATCCTGTATAGGAAAGGGAATACAATGGACACAGAAAATGGTTTCTGATTGTTTATGGGCTATTGTGAGTCTTTTGTGTTTTCTGCATAGTTTATGGGCTCCTGTGGGTGTCCTGCATTTTCTGTAGGGAGGAATAAAGGTTGTCCTCTACTCAGATGAATTGTTACCTTGAATGCTTATATGGGATCTTGGAACCCCCCCCCCTTATCTTCATCTATGGAGACTTATGTGTGAGTG